CATACACACATACTTACATACATATGTAAAAATTGTTCAGACCATGTTCATTGTAATTTAAAAATATATATATCCACAACAGAATTTTTCATAAAATAAAAAAAAAACTTGAAAAAAAGTTAACAACAATTGTTTAATTTTGAGGGGCCAAAGGCTAGTTGGAATGGAAAGACGATTGGTCAGGGTAGGGGTGAGATAAGGCTGGACTAGCAAATTTACTAAAACTATTATAATTTCCACCAATATTCGTGGATTTTCAAAAGGACTTCAAGGACTTACTGGCCAATATTCGTGGATTTTTAAAAATATATTTTTTTCAAGGATTTACTGGCCAAAGAAAATATCTTTTCAAGGACCTCCTGGCCAATATTCGTAAACTTTAAGAAATATTTTTTCAAAGACTTCCTGGCAATATTCCTGGATTTTTAAAAATATTTTCTCAAGGACTTCCTGGCCAATATTAATGCATTTTTTTAATATATTTTTCAAGTCCAAAATTTGTGGATTTTTTTTAAATATTTTTTCAAGGTTGTCGTGGCCAATATTAGTGGATTTTTAAAAGTATTTTTTCAAGGACTTCCTGATCAATATTCGAGGATTTAATTTTTTTCAAAGACTTTCTTGCCAATGTTCCTGGATTAAAAAAATAAAGACTTCTTGCGCAATATCCGCGAATTTTTAAGAATATTTTTTTCGAGGACTTTCTGGCCAATATTCGTGGATTTTTAAAATAAGTTTTTTCAAGGCCAATATTCGTTGATTTCTAGAAATATTTTTTCAAGGACTTCCTTTAAAATATTTTTTCGAGGACTTACTGGCTAATTAAAAATATTTTTTTAAGGACCTTCTCGCCAATATTCGTAGATTTTGAAAAATATTTTTTTCAAGGATTTTCTGGCCAATATTCGTGAATTTTTAAAAATATTTTTTCAAAGACTTCCTGGCCAATCTTCGAGAATTTAAAAAATTTAGAACTTCCTGGGCAATGTTCTTAGTTTTATAAAAATATTTTTGCAAGGACTTCCGGGCCAATATTCGTGGATTTTCAAAAATTATTTTAAAAGCACTTCCTGGCCAATATTAGTAGACTTTTAAAAATATTTTTTTTTTTAGTTACTTCCTTGCCAATATTTGTGGATTTTTAAATTTTTTTTCAAGGCCACTATTCGTGGATTTCTAAAAATATCTTTTCAAGGACCAATTTTCGTAGATTTTTAAAAATATTTTTTTTCAACGACTTTCTGGCCAATATTCGTGTATTTTTTAAAACATTTTTTCAAGGCCAATATTTGTGGATTTTTTTACAAATATTTTTTAAACAGCTTCTGGCCAATATTCTGGACTCTTAAAACTTATTTTTTCAAGGACTTTTTGGCCAATGTTCGTGGATTTTTAAAAATATTTCTTCAGGGACTTCCTGTCTAATATTAGTGGACTTTTTTTATATTTTTCAACCCTTCCTGGCCAATATTCATTGATTTTTAAAAATATTTTTGCAAGGACTTCTTGGCCGATATTCATGGATTTTAGAAAAAAAATTGAGGCCAATAATCGCGGGTTTTTAAAAATATTTTTTCAAGGACTTCCTGGCTAATATTCGTGGATTTTTAAAAATATTTTTTCAAGGACTATTTCGCCAATATTCGTCGACTATTTAAAAATATTTTTTCGATACTCGTGGATTTTTAAAAATATTTCAAGAACTTTGTGACCAATATTCGTGAATTTTTAAAAATATATTTTCAAGGACTTTCTGACCAATATTCGTGGATTTTTAAAAATATATTTTCAAGGACTTTCTGGCCAATATTCGTCGACTTTTTAAAAAACTTTTTTACGATATTCGTAGATTTTTAAAAATATTTCAAGGACTTTCTGACCAATATTCGTGGATTTTTAAAAATATATTTTCAAGGACTTTCTGACCAATATTCGTGGATTTTTAAAAATATATTTTCAAGGACTCTCTGGCCAATATTCGTCGACTTTTTAAAAATATTTTTTCGATATTCGTGGGTTATTTAAAATATATCAAGGACATTCTGACCAATATTCGTGGATTTTTAAAAATATTTTTTCAAGGACTATTTCGCCAATATTCGTCGACTATTTAAACATATTTTTTCGATATTCGTGGATTTTTAAAAATATTTTTTCAAGGACTTTTTGACCACTATTCGTGAATTTTTAAAAAATATTTTTTCAAGGACTTTCTGGCCAATATTCATGGATTTTTAAAAATATTTTTTCAAGGACTATTTCGTCAATATTCGTCGACTTTTTAAAATATTTTTCAACCCTTCTTGGCCAATATTCATGGATTTTTTTTAAATATTTTTTTAAGGACTTTGTGGCCAAAAATTGTTGATTCTTAAAAATATTTTTCCAAGGATTTCCTGGCCAATATTCGTGTATTTTTTAAAAATATTTTTTCAAGGGCTTGCTTTTAGAAATATTTTTTTTCAAAGGCTTCCTGGTCAATATTGGTGGATTATTTTTAAATATTTTTTAATTTTATTTTTTTCAGTTCTATTACTTCACCCAATATGAAATTTGGTACTATTTAGTACTTTTCGTACAATCATTAGCTTTCAAATGATACCTATATTGTCCATATCTGTATAGTAAGCCGGTGTGTAACCCGGGTATTGGACCCGCGCTTTCGGCGATGGACGGGTGGACGAACGGACATGCATAAATCGACTCAGATTCATTCAGCAAAGCAACTACGGGCCTATGTCGCTTCGTTCCCCATATCACAATCAATTGTACCAAGACATTATACCCCGTACAAAATGTGATGTACGTATAAAAAACCATCCTCTATGTGATCTAAATTGTATATTAACGAAAAAAATAATTTGAAATTTCGTTGAATATTTGACCCTAATAAGTTTCAAGTTTGTGATGTCTTTCCATACAACTTGATTTTTGGTTAAAATAAAAGAAAACTCACCTTTCGAATGAATGCCACAACCATTCACTACAAATTCACCACAACACGGCTTTTAGTTGAGGTCGTACTGCTAGCACAACAGCAATCACCACAACCCTATTACCAATGCATATAAAAGGGCAACAGTGTTGTATTTCGTTCGTACTTAGCATTGACACAAACCGCACACAATATGATTTCAATGCATCAATGAAAATTTATCAATACTTATAATTCACATATGCTTTTTCCTTAAAACGTACATACAAATAGCAAAAGAAATCACCAGACATTGTTCTTGCTTCGGCAGAACATATACTAAAATTGGAACGATACAGAGAAGATTAGCATGGCCCCTGCGCAAGGATGACACGCAAAATCGTGAAGCGTTCCACATTTTTTGTAAAAATTTTGAAGTAAAATAACTGTTATGGGCCCATATAATGGTACCTCCATTTTTTCTGTATTTTGGTGATTTAAGCGACATTATTCACCGGAATAGTTGGTATTTGAAGTTCGTAATGGATACTACGGCTTATGACAGAAAATTGTCTGTGCAGGTCCACGTCTTCGTATAGCCCCCATATAATGGTACCCCTCGATATTCGGTATTTTGATGATTTTAGCGACATTATTCACCGAAAATGTTTCAAATTTGGTATTTGAAGTTTGTAATGGATACCACAGCCTATAACAGAAAGTTGTCTGTGAAGGTCCACGTTTTGGTGTAGCCTCTATATAACGGCACCTCCCGATATTCGGTATTTTGATGATTTTAGCGACATTATTCACCGGAATTCTTTCAAATTTGGTATTTGAAGTTCGTAATGGATACTAGAGCCTACGACAGAAAATCGTCTGTGCAGGTCCACGTCTTCGTATAGAACCTTTTAACGGTACCCCCGATATTCGGTATTTTAATGATTTTAGCGACATTATTCACCGGAATTTTTTTCAAATTTGGTGTTTGAAATTTGTAATGGATACTACAGCCTATGACAGAAAATTGTCCGTGCAGGTCCTCTTCTTCATATAGACCCCATGTAACAGTACCTCCCGATATTCGGTACTTTGATGATTTTACGACATTATTCACCGGAATTGTTTCAAATTTGGTTTTTGAAGTTCGTAATGGGTACTACAGCCTATGGCAGAAAATTGTATGCGCAGGTTCACGTCTTCATATAGCCCCCATGTAACGGCTCCTCCCTATATTCGTTACTTTGATGATTTTAGCGACATTATTTACCGGAATTCGTTCAAATTTGGTATTTGCAGTTCGTAATGGATACTACAGCCTATGACAGAAAATTGTCTGTACAGGTCCATGTCTTAGTATAGCCCCTATATAACGGTACCTCCCGATATTCCGGACTTTAATGATTTTAGCGACATTATTCACCGAAATTGTTTCGAATTTCGTGTTTGAAGTTCGTAATGGATACTACAGCCTGTGACAGAAAATTGTCTGTGCAGGTCCACTTCTTCATATAGCCCCCGTGTAACAGTACCTCCCGATATTCGGCACTTTGATGATTTTAGCGACATTACTCACCGGAATTGTATCAAATTTGGTGTTTGAAATTCGTAATGGGTACTACAGCCTATGACAGAAAATTGTCTATGCAGGTCCACTTCTTCATATAGCCCCCATATAACGGTACCTCCCGATATTCCGGACTTTAATGATTTTAGCTACATTATTCACCGAATTTTTTTATTCAAGTTTCACATTCGAATATTGTAATGGTTTATGACAAAAGTTGCCTATGCAGGTCCACGTCGTCGTAGAGACCCTAATATAATGGCTACAATCGGTATTTTTAAGATTTTAACAGAATTTTTTTTTGCCAAAATCGTTGCAAATTTGGAGGGTATTCAAAGGCTTTTTCATGTTAGTCTACGAAGATGAATTTGGGATATTTTATAAAGACGACTTTGAGGTTAACTATAGAGGGAATTTGGAGGTCATCGGTAAAGACGATTTTAAGTTCGCTCATAATGTTGGATTTGAGGCCATCTACAGAGACAAAGTCCCTCATTGAAATTAAATAAAACAGAGCCATTTATGGAATAAAATATACATATTTTTTTATTGATATTTTCAAAATAATTTCAATTTTTTTTTTACAAATGGTTTCTCAAAGAACTGAATTATGTTAATCATTCCAACTTTATTCGTTAACATAGTATTTTCAATATTATTTTTGTATACAAAAGATATTTTTTATTTTAATACATAAAATAAAGACGATACAAAAAGAACAGAGACAGTAGTAGAAAATTATTAAGAAATAATAAAAATATATAAAAATATTAAAAAAATTAAGAGATTTTTTTGTTTTGTTTTAATTCTACAAAAAATAGAATTTTGTGCTTTTTGATTTAAAAAATAAAAGACAAATAATATTTTTTTCAATTAGAGTATAAAATATCAGATATAGAGAGCACTAGAAATACTTGTGATGTTGTTGTTATTCATTGATTTTTGTTCGATGTTGATCAGTATGTCAGATTAATAAATTATTGAAAAAAAAAAAACAGAGATTCTGAAAATTGACACTCTGAGGTTTAGTCATGTTTGAATTCCGGCTGTAAATCGTACCAGGTGTTTAGACCATTGCCCGAGACTTCAGGATCTGTGAGAGGGATTTTGAGCTGGAAAAAAGAAAGGGGGAAAATAAAATTGAATATTCCAAAATATATATGAATTATAATTTTTTTGTTGGAAAATGTTGACCAGGGAGGACCTAAGAAGGTCTTCTTAAGATCGTAGCAACTCGCTGAGAACCTTTGAAGGCCACGTGGGTCTTCTATTAGTCATTTGGAGTTCTTTAATTAACCTTAGAAGAGGCCTACTTTTCTATGAAACAAATTTAAATCTACGATTTTTGGTCAGAACATCTTTGGAAAAGTTTACATTTCCGCTCATTTTTTTAATATTGACCAGATTTTTTTTTTTAATATTTTTAAAAATCCACGAATATTTTCCAGGAAGTCTTTCAAAAATATTTTTAAAATTCCCACAAATATTGGCCAAAACGTACTTGATTTTTTTTTTAAATACACGAAAATTGGTCTTGAAAAAATATTTTTTTAAAAATCCACGAATATTGGTCTTGAAAAAATATTTTTTTTAAAAATCCAAGGATATTGGTCTTGAAAAAATATTTTTTTAAAAGTCCACGAATATTGGCCAAAACGTACTTGAAAAAATATTTTTAAAAATACACGAATATTAGTTTGAAAAAATATTTTTAAAAACACACGAATATTAGTTTGAAAAAATATTTTTAAAAATACACGAATATTAGTTTTGAAAAAATATTTTTTTTAAAAATCCACGAATATTGGCCGGAACGTACTTGAAAAAATATTTTTTTAAAAATCCACGAATATTGGTCTTGAAAAAATATTTTTTTAAAAATCCACGAATATTGGTCTTGAAAAAATATTTTTTTTAAAATCCACGAATATTTGTCTTGAAAAATATTTTTAAAAATCCACGAATATTGGCCAAAACGTACATCAAAAAATATTTTTAAAAATCCACGAATATTGGCCGGAACGTACTTGAAAAAATATTTTTTTAAAAATTCACGAATATTGGCCGGAACGTACTTGAAAAAATATTTTTTTAAAAATCCACGAATATTGGTCTTGAAAAAATATCTTTTTTAAAAATCCACGAATATAGGTCTTGAAAAAATATTTTTAAAAATCCACGAATATAGGTCTTGAAAAAATATTTTTAAAAATCCACGAATATTGGTCTTGAAAAAATATTTTTAAAAATCCACGAATATAGGTCTTGAAAAAATATTTTTAAAAATCCACGAATATTGGTCTTGAAAAAATATTTTTAAAAATCCACGAATATAGGTCTTGAAAAAATATTTTTAAAAATCCACGAATATCGGTCTTGAAAAAATATTTTTAAAAATCCACGAATATTGGTCTTGAAAAAATATTTTTAAAAATCCACGAATATTGGTCTTGAAAAAATATTTTTAAAAATTCACGAAAATTGTTCTTGAAACAATATTTTTAAAATCCACGAATATTGGTCTTGAAAAAATATTTTTAAAAATCCACGAATATTGGTCTTGAAAAAATATTTTTAAAATCCACGAATATTGGTCTTGAAACAATATTTTTAAAATCCACGAATATTGGTCTTGAAAAAATATTTTTAAAAATCCACGAATATTGGTCTTGAAAAAATATTTTTAAAAATCCACGAATATGGGTCTTGAAAAAATATTTTTAAAAATCCACGAATATTGGTATTGAGAAAAATATTTTTAAAAATCCACGAATATTGGTCTTGAAAAACTATTTTTGAAAATCCACGAATATTGGCCTTGAAAAATTATTTTTAAAAATCCACGAATATTGGTATTGAAAAAATATTTTTAAAAATCCCACGAATATTGGCCAAAAAATCCTTGAAAAATATTTTTAAAAATCCCACGAATATTGGTCTTGATTTTTTTTAAATCCCACGAATGTTGGTCTTGAAAAAATAATTTTAAAAATCTACAAAAATTGGCCAGGATGGCTTTGAAAAATATTTTTAAAAATCCTAGAATGTGTTTGGACCAGGAATTTCTTGAACAAAATATTTTAAAAAATCCTCGAATGTTTGGACCAGGTAGTCATTAAAAAAAAATATTTTTAATTCACCACAAAGTCCTTCAAATAGTATTTTGGACGGTGGATGTAGAAAACTTTTTAAGACCGATTCAATGGACCAGAGACAGTTAGGAATACCCTTTACAGTCTACAGCAAGATTTTTATGTGCTTTATTAACCATAGCGAACCTCTATTGGCCATAAAAGGATCTCCCTTGACCACAGAATACCTCTATTGACCATAGATGACCTTGGAAGGACCTCTAATGACCATAGAGCACCTTGGAAGGACCTCTATTCACCACAGAGGCTCATTTAAGGTCTTATATTAGGCAATGGAGACATTTTTCATAAAAGGATTTCTATTTCCTTAAAGGAAATTTGAAGGATCATAGAGACCCTTTACCTATTGATGTCCTTGAACGACTATATAGGTCTCCAGTGGACCCTTAATGAATATATAGGACGTTTGGATGTCTTCTATCGACCAAAGATAAACTTTAGCGTCCTTTATAGTTCATAAGTGACCTTCGAAGGACCTCTTTTGACCATATAGGGCATTTTAATGACCTCTGGACCTTGAAAGGACCTCTATTGATCATAGGGGGTCTTTCAAAATCTTCTATTTGCCAAGGGAGACATTTTTCATGCAAGTCATTTGAAGGACTTTGAAGGATCATAGAGGCCCTTTATCTATTGATGTCCTTGGAAGACTATGAAGGCATCCCGTTGACCGTTATTGAATATAGAGGACGTTTGAATGTCTATTCACCTATTTATCCATTTAAGTTCTAGGTAGACTATGAAGGCCTTTTAAGGGCCTCTATTGGTCGTAGAAGGACTCTGAAGAACCTCTATTGACCAAAGAAAACCGATCAATACCCTATATGGATCAAATGGGGCCTTTGAAGGACCTTTGTTTTTTATAGAGCACCTTTAAGGACCTCTTTTGACAATAGATGGCCTATGAAGGACCTCTGTTGCCCACAACGGGCCTTTTGAGGACTTCTATTGACCGAACGCAGCCATTGATCACTAGCGGCCTGAAGGACCTCTTCGAAATACCTTTTTAAGGACCTCTTTGGACAATAGAGGGCCTTTGAAAGACCTCTTTTGGTAATAGATAGCTTATGAAGGACCTCCATTGACAGAAGACAGTCTTTGAAGGCCCCCATTGACCGGAGACAGCTTTTGAAGGACTTCCATTGACCAAAGGCAGGCTTTTAAGGACCTCTATTGACAGTAGAATCATTCTGAAGGACCTGTATTGGCGGTAAAAAACGTTCAATAGCCTGTATGAATCAAATGGAACCTTTAAAGGTTGTGGAGATACCTTTTTGACCATGTACTATATTTGAAGGACTTTTATTGCTCTACAGGATCTTCGAATGTATTCTATAGACCATGGGCCCCTTAAGATCTACCATTGACCATTTAGAACCATACCTCTGTTTAAGACCTCCAACGAACATAGGGGGCATTTTAAGGATTTATATCGAAGCATCTCTCCATCATATTATCCCCCATCCCCAACTTACCATTCCAATGATGGGACTGCCAAAGAAGCCCTTCTGCGTGCAGACTGTAACCTCCAACTCGCTCTGTAACAGCTCAGCCGTTGACATCAAATACTCGAAAGTGGCATCGTACACGGGATTACAATTATCCTTGATGACAACCGTCTTGCGTTTCGATTCTTTGCTTCGGCCTGGCAGTAGATATAGCTTAACATATGGATCGGGTATATTGGAGGGATCACGTATAGGAATATTCATTATCTTGTGAATGGTTACAAAGAGTTTCTGTCGCTGGGCCAAATAGTGGATGGTCAGCAGGATGCGACCCAAACCGTGTTCACCGGGTGAGGCGGAGAGATCGGGTACACGATGGGTTAGCACCGATTCGCCGCCAATTAAATTCGCCGAAAATGGATTGGGACTGCGAGGCGGTGTTATGGATTGTAAATTCGTGGGACTAGAGACTTTCAAGTTCGGTTCCTCCTCGCTCAGTGGGGTGTCGGCTGAGATGCGACTGCTTTGGGATTGTAATTCCTGGGAGGAAAAAAGGAAAAAAAAAAATGAAAACTGATTTTTTTTTTTGAAAACATGTCCTTACCTTTGGCGATGAGGGTTCCTGAATACTGGCTGTCTTACTAATGGACCGGGCCAATTTGTTTTCTCCCGCCACCGGCGCCTCCGAGCTCTCGCCATCCTCAATGGCCTCGGCCTTCTTTAAGATACGCAGTGACAGCGACATTATCAGCTTAGATTCGGGTCCAGATTTCTGAATCTGGAAGGGTTGCGACACAATGTCCATATTCTCTTTGCGCAGCAACGTGGCAATGACATAACCAAATTGTCCAATTTCACTGCCGGTCTTCTGATCGAAAATCTTAATTTGCAGTGTATCATTTTCCGGATTGCCCACCAGGAATGTGAAGCCTTGCTCCCAGACGGGAGAGTTGTCGCGCATAATCATGCCCGTCTGCTGTTTTTGTTTGCCAACACTGCACACCAAATAGGGGTCGGGATTGGAGTTTATGCGTGCCTGTTTGAGATTCTTGGCCGAATCGATGAAGACAATCAGTACGGCCGAACTCATGGAGGCGACACGCAGCAATTGGGTTTCGGCCAAGGCCGCCTGCAAATCCAGGGGGTTCGAGGTGAGTTTGTACCATTGTAGGCGTACGTGCAGCATACCATGTTTGGCATTCTCCAAGGTGAGCCACTGGAAAAAGAAGGAAAAATTAATTTAAAAAAAGGGGCTTGAGATAGAGAGACCTTGTGAAATACTTACGGTATCAACCACGCCACGTTTCACGGCATTAATAATTTCAACACTTGCCCTGTAAGGGATTTAAACAGACAATTAGTTGAGATCGTGTGGGGAAAATTATTTTTTTTTTATTTGAAATTGTAAAAAAATTGAAAAAATAGAACTTGAAACTATTCTCTAAATCTAAAGTTAGTATTAATTTAGTTGGGAGATTTTTGGTTAGAGATCTATTAAATATGAAAGAGTTAGATTCCTTGACCCAGGGATTTTCTAAGAAATGGAAATGAATTTTAAACACCAAGATGGGATATTCAAAAAGGTGAGAATACATAGCAGCCTTTTATTTTGGCATATGTCGCAGGTTGGCTTTTTCGTAAAAGAGCAAAGGAGTTTTAGGCTGACTTAGTTCCATTTCCGTTCATTTTATGGAAAAGTCTTGCCAGAAAAAATCCTTCTATCACATCTCGAGTCTACTTTACACATCGTGTTAGAGTCACTTTTTTATTGTCACAACAGTCGGTCACCATGGAGTCGGTTTCCCTGATCGTTATGATGTTACCGGCGCTTCTGGCTCAGGTTAGTGCTCTTACTTGGGAAAGAGTTCTTTTGCAGCCTCACAGCAAGTTTTCTCCGAATAAGGCCTGCTATCACTGGGATGACGCACCAAGGGCAAGTTATTGTGTCGATCCTCGGTACTGGCTTTAGAATCAAAACGCACAATGGGTTTTCTTGAACATCACTTTTTATTGGCGGCACAAATTTTATTTTAACGGCCTTCTTGGTCAAGAGAAACGAAACAGTTAAAAATCAAAAAAAAAAAAATCTTCTCATCAAAACCTTTCTTACTCTGAGAGCAAGAGAACATTGATCAAAGCAGAACCAATGATATGGCATTGCCAGTATAAAACCAGTAAAAAAAAGTCTTAAAGTCGGGCGGGACCGATATGATACCCTACACCACTTTGCTAATTTAGTAGGGCTCCGCATAACAATTAAAGGTGTTTATGGGAGAATTCAATCATACACGCTATGATTATAATTATAATTTAAAGTTCAAAGGACATAACATGCCGAAGCATGTGTATCTTTTAAATTCGGACTTGTATTGCCCATTTGGTGCACAATTAATTTGAAATCGGATAAAGATATATATGGGAGCTATATCCAAATCGGAACCGATCTCCATAAAATTTGGCAAAGCTATTTCTGAGCTGTATTTGATATATTTCCCTGAATATCGTTGTTACGGAGTGCATATTACGGCTGTGGGTAACAAATATAACAAATCGGATGAACAATATATATGGAAGCTATAGCTATATCTGAACCGATCTTCACCAAATTTGACATACTAGCTTCTAGACTCAATTCGGTCGTAAGTGCCAAATTCCATCCCATTTATACAAATATTAGACGTTTGGTGCACAATAAAAGGTAAATCGGACGAAGTTATATATGGGAGCTATATCCAAATCTGAACCGATCTCGATAAAATTTTGCAAAGGTATTTCTGAGCTGCATTTGATATATTTCCCCAAATATTTTTGTAACAGAGTGCATATTACGGCTGCGGAGGACAAGAATAACAAATCGGATGAACAATATATATATGGGAGCTACAGCTATATCTGAACCGATTTCGATCAAATTTGGCATACTTATGTTCAGGCCTAATTTGGGTGTATATGCAAAATTCCATACAATTCGGGCTGATATTACACGTTTGGTGCACAATAAAAGGCAAGTCGGACAATGATATATATGGGAGCTATATCTAAATTTTGATCGATTATCTCCAATTTCAATAGGCTTCGTCCTTGGGCCAAACAAATGATCTGTGCAAAATTTCATCTGGATCGGGCAATAAATGCGACCTGTACTTTGTTTACAAAAATACATGGACAGACGGACGGACGGACGGACATGCATAAATCGACTCAGAATGTGATTCTATGCAGATCATCAAAAGGAACTATGGGTCTATCTCGTTTCCTTCTGCCTGTTACAAACAAATGCACAAAGACATAATACCCTGACCACCTTGTGGTGTAGGGTATAAAAAATCTTCTCATCAAAACCTTTCTTACTCTGACAGCAAGAGAACATTGATCAAAGTAAAACCAATGATATGGCATTGCCAGTATAGAAAAAAGGGAAAGACGACGTACATGGGAATTGCCTTCGAGGGCGAATATTAGTGCTGCACTTGTAGCGCTTTTCCCATGAACACAGACGTAACTTCATATGTGTGTCAAATTTGGTGTCTTCCTTGCGACATTAAAGTTTTACGATTATTGATTTTCTTGGTCCAGGTAGTTTTCTTTCCTTTCGGTTTTATTAAGCCTAATATACCTAAGTTTTGTAAATAAAAATTCGTTTTCGTCAATTTTTGTTGACGTCTTCAGAGGATAAGTCTATTTCAAAACAAGTAAAAAAGCAGGACCATCATAGACAATTTTCAGTTATATGATGTAGTACCTATTAGGAACTTCAAATACGAAATTTCAAATAATTTCGGTGTATATTGTACCTAAAATCGTCAAAATACCGAATATGTAAAGGTACAGTTATATGGGGGCTATCATTAAATGTGGACCTATAACCCATTTTCAATACCAAAAGTCATGCAGACAAAACACACAATTGAGTAACATTTTATCAGCCTACTTCAATTCGTTCGGAAGCTAGAGTGACTTCCACAGACGGTCGGATGTACGGACATACGACATAGAATTTTATGCTGATCAAGAAGATATATATTTTGTGGGGTCTAAAAATCATTTACTTTGGACCACCTTATACTTCTGGTGATATGTGCCACAGCTTTCAATGTAAATTGTGGTGGTACCTCTTCGAGTAGGAGAGGTCGTACACGGCGTAGGATACTTTTCTCTTAGACCTGTCACTGTTGGGGTGCTCCATAAATTGCCGGTTAAAATAAGCACCTCTTGGGATCTGTCAATTCTACGCCGTTAAATGAGACAGATATCCGATTATATTATTTTCCAAGATTCGAGAGCGACTAAAACGTTGCCCACAATTCACTCGATCCCGTACTGATATTGCAATGCTTCAGATGTTATAGACACTTTCCGCTTATGCTCGCCAACTAACCTGTTTACCTTTAGAGTTAGTTCCCTGACTCTGGGGTACGACGAAACTCATCACTTTCATTTGTTAGTCCCGCTGAGTCTGATGGGATATTAGGTCTTATGTCATTTATTCGACCAGCAGCTATAAAGCGAGCGTCTGCAGCTTTGATGACGTCCCGGAAACACTTATCTGCTGCCTGAATATCAAATGGGTTGGACAGAGACAGATGTCCGATTATATTATTTTCCAAGATTCGAGAGCGACTAAAACGTTGCCCACAATTCACTCGATCCGGTACTGATGTTGCAATGGTTTACATGTTCTAGCCCATTTTCCGCTTATGCTCGCCAACTAACCCTTTTACCTTCAGAGTTAGTTCCCCGACTCAGGGGTACAACGAAACTCATCCCTTTCATTTGTTAGTACCGCTGACTCTGCTGGGACATTAGATTTTATTTCAGATATTCGACCAACAGCTATACTTCGAGTGGCTGCAGCTTTGATGACTTCCCGGAAACACCTATCTGCTGTCTGAATATCAAATGGGTTGGACAGTTCTTTAAAGCGGCGATGAATTCTAAATTCTTGCCAATTGGCATTTCCATGGTTAAGGAAAGTTCGGCGTTCAGAACCTATGAAGTCTGGTGGTCTGTTGAAGGCGACGATAATGGGGAGTTGGTCTGAACCTAATGAAAAGGTTAGGTAATTTTTCAGACCTGGCAATGGATATGGGTAAGGTGAGCTTATTGTGGTAGAGAGGGCGTTCTCATTCACTGTGCAGCATGTGGAGCTATCAATTTGCTCACCCAGTCTCTTTGGTAATTGCCTAGGACGGAAAGCCATAATTCAAGATGGGCATTTTAGGTTGACGACATTGGTATTTATCGGTAGGTCTTAGGGACTGCTTTAATTTCGTCGCTAACTTACGGATAAATTTCGTTAATCACCGAAATTATAAAGATTTTAATTTTACCGACTTTTGTCGTTAACGCAAAAATGAGTTAGAGAATCGCACCACAGTTTTGAGTCTTTTCCTTTCTCTTAAATCGTTATTTCTCTTCTGTAGCGGTGCCTTTATTATCTCTCTGATACGTTATATATCTCAAACTACGTCTAACATTTCTTTTCTTTTTTTTGTGACCATATTTGGTATCTTATGTTTTTTTATATCTTATATTTTATATATAGTAAAAAAATCATTTTCGGAATCTGATCTTCGAAATAAACTACAAGAGATCTAATCATGCATTTTTAGAAGAAAAGATAAGAAGAAAATTTTCAGCTAATAAAATTGTATCTACAAATGAAAAGTATATAATCAAATCTAAATTATTTATCTACAGTCTACAAATCGTTTTTATTTGTTTAAAAAAAAGACAAGAATAGATATTTTAGATTATGGAAAAAAAATCCTTCACCTTCCCAAGGATTCATCATCACCGGTGCGATCCCAATCAAATAAACGATAACTGATGACACTGTGCTGTGTAACCTCCACTGCAGCCTTTTGCGCAAACAATTTCGGATTGGGGGAGAGAGCGATATCAAGAGTGTAAACACAAAATGGGGGCGAGAGAGAGAGAGATAGAGAGAAACATTACACACTCAATGAGAGCCGGTGTTATCATTACTACACTTCTTTTAATTGCGCTTTTGTTTTTTGGAATTTCACACATAAATTTTGAACACAAATAAAGACAGACAGACAGACAGACAGAAAAAAGTGCAAGAATTTCCAAGTGAGGACTTAGGACCAATTACATACACAGACAAATATAATCAAATTATGACATCGAATAGTAATTCTCAATTTTATATTAATTTGTTTCAATGCAAAGTGCATATATAGAAAGAGAGAGAGAGGAGAGAGCATGAGACATAACATGCCAGGCTTCAGTGCAGAGTTTTTGAATAAAAATAGAGTAAATATATTAGGCTATGAATAGAGCTGGCTATTGAATTTGACATGCGACAAGCTATGATTTATTGTAGAGTGTTCAATTAGAAAATATATGGAGAGAAGGAGCAGTACAGAAAAAGAGTTAACAGGTTACCATTTTTGAGAACAAAAAAAAAAAACACAGGGTTGCATGACAGAAATCGGGATTAAATAGTGGAGACGTAACGTAGTCATTTTTTTTTTATTAAAAATATGAAATTACACGCCGAAAATTTTATGAAAGAAAAAAAATCAAGATTTGCCTGAAATGGAAGATGGACAGGGGAAAGGTCTTCCCTTCTTCCACCAACTCAAGTTTCTGAGTTCTACTCCTATGAAGAGAAATGTTAAAGTCTCCATAATTCATGTTGGAAACTAATCGCAATTCTTTGCATAATCGAAATAAGTAACGTATCGTAACATAATAAATCCATTAAATATTCCATCATTTCCTAAAAAAATTGAGGGACATACAGTGAGCGTCAATAGCATGGTAGAAGATAAATGTAGTGGCATCGACACAACTGCTGTAAACCAATTTTGGAATTGACAATTTTTAACGAAAAATTGGTATTATATTATAACAACCTCCGATTGAGGTCGTATAGGAAAACATATACAAATTAAATTATTTTTGAATAAACATTTAAGATTTTTTGAAATTTCAATGTTCCCAAGCGCTGATGCATCTGCCTGTATTTTTCTACCATGGTCAATGTAAAGATACATGTCTATCTCAAATCGTCAAATCAATTTTTTATTTTTTAAGACTGCTTCCTTTTTCAAGGTTGCACTTTTCTCAGACAATTAATTGTTATATTTTATTACTTTTTTCAATTGGCCATTTTTATAAACATTCTCGATCACGATCCACACGTTCTTATAACAAAAAGACTTTTTTTGTACAATTCTTTTTTTTTCAAACAAACTTCCATGGGCAGGCGAGATCTTGTCATAAAATTACACAAACCAATCAAAAAATCACAATTCCGTAAAAAATTACCGACAAATACAAAAGGACTAGAAAATTGTAGAATATTCATCGGAGACAACGACAACTTAATAATACACAAATTCGAAGCGGGAGTAGCAAATGAACCCTTCTGATCCTAGAATCAGCGAATTGATAGTGGAAGTCAGCCGGTTGGTATAGGAACATAAGAAGAAAAAGTGCCTAGACCACTTGAAGTGTTGCAACATTGGATCCGATTGAGTAAGCTGCGTGTAACGCTTCAATCGCTCTCGATCCCTGGAGAAAAGGATGATAGGACCTCAGGCACTTTTAACGACGTAACGGTGACTGTCGAGCATCCCGAAAGCGACAGGGCGAAGCGAAGATATCTTCCCGCCGGGGAAGAACTACCTCAGTTTACGACGGGTGATGTTGCAAATGTCATCCGGAACGCTAAGACAACCCAAGCATTGGTCGCAGACGGAACCTGGGAACCAACATGGTTCCCGAAGTCTGGAAAATGAGTCGGGTTGTCCCGCTACTGAAGACAGGCAAGGATGTCAGCAAAGACGATTTTCGCCAATTTCAATGTTTTCGCCAGTGGCTAAGACTCTCGAGCAACATTACACGCCATTTCCACACAAATTAGTAGAGGATTGCCAGCAATCCAAGCCACAGCTATCTGCGACAAGAGGTCCCCAAGAACATCCCAAAAACGCCGTTCTCAGCAGTTCGGCATGGCTCGGTCCACTTTACAACGGATTATTCGCATTGGTTTGCATTTGTTCCCGTACAAAATTCAATTGACGCAAAGAATGTTGCCTGCGGACAAGCCACGTCGATTGGAATGGGCCCAAAGGTCCGTCGAATATCTGCAACCCTGTATATCAAGAAGCCTATCAGGTAGGACGAATTGACGAAAATGTGCGTGGCGGCTGTGCGGCATGTGATACAGGCTCGCACCACATGTTGCACCTCCTTAATTGCACCGCCAAACCTACCCAACTCACTCCAGATCTCTGGTTACAGCCCATTAAAGTAGCGGAATTTTTAAACCTGGACCTCGAACTAGATTATAAGAATCCAAACATCTGCATGTGTTACTGCAACAACAACATCAACAAATTCGAAGTACAGTACGAACGGTGAAATCTAATTCCTGTGCTGTGCAAATAGCGAAAATGTGTCAGAGTTATCAGGCGTAAGCGTAAGTGCCATTACAGTACGTAGGGACCTGCATGAAAATGTGCTCTATGGTCGAATCCTCAGAAAAAATCATGCATTACAGAGATCAACCAAGCAAATTTGAGATATTTGGCAAAAAAATGTAAAAATTTGCAGAACCAAAAACATGGCGGTGGCCGACTTCTCCTTTAGTGTTCAGTTGTTACAGTGTTCATAGAGGGGACCATGAATATGGACGACTGCCTTAATCCCTCCGTTCCCGGATTTGAGGCCAATTGAACATGGGAAGATCTTCGAGCCAGATAGAAAGTTGAATTGACAACCGAAAACCGGGTTTAGATTCCCTTCACTCGTTTAAAAAAAGGTCTCGAAAAAAATATTCCACGTTTTTAAATCTGCAATATTGCCAAAGACACTTAATTGCTTAAATACATGGATTTTGAGGAATCTTAATCCGAAAATTTCCAAAAGTTTGGACAAAGGGAAGTTGCAAATGTTCTGTTTCAAACGGAATAAAGTATTTCCAAAAATTTCCAAAAAAAAAAAAAAAAAAAAAAAAAATAGCAGTGAACGATACGATACGTTTTGCTCTAATCACATTTACCTCAATGTTAAGGTAGGTTCACACATTGAAATTAACTTGAGGTAATAGAATCATTGCCTCCTCGTTAATAGTTAGGCTACAGTTTGTCATGCAACGAAATAAAAACACAGTTAGAGACCGAACTCTTGTCAGTTAGTTAATGCCTTGGGTTAGTGAACAAGCTTTGGGTTATACACAACCTGCCCAAAGAATCATCGACTTGTGGACCTGGATCACTGTCCCACAAGTGGAAAAAGACCTCCTGGCCCACGGGTGAATTAACAAAGGCCTAAGAAGAGAGTAATTTTGTTAAATTGTTTTTTTTAAGTTTTGAAGCCAAAATTTTGAATTTGTCTATTTTTAGAAATCAAGCCTGTTGGGTTAGTAAGCGAAGCGAATCCTGCAAACATGCGGTTATACAAATAAAGAAAACTATTTTTTCTACTACTCACTTATTAAAAATCGGTTAATTTTTATGTTGTTTTGTATGGTCAACCAATAATTATTTATAAAAATTTCCCCATATGGAGTTTCCTCAATTATTTGTGTGTGTTCAAGGGGGAAAGTCAATGCAGGCGTTACGCGTCGCTTGGTTAAGGCTTAAGGTGAGAGTACAAATAAGGGTGCAAGTACATAAAGCTTGAAGTCATGGCTAGGTATATTAATGTGAAATTATAATGGGAAACTACTGCAGGATTTTAGTGCGACTCAGTAATCTCTTTAGGAAATGTCACAAAATATGCCTAGCCATGACTTGAAGCTTCTTATGTAGTTACACAGTAAGTCATCGGCTGGCTTCTTTGTAGAGGAACAAAGCAATGAACAAAGGAGTTTTAGGTTGACATAGTTCGATTTTGGCCCTACGCTCTTTTGTTCTTTTCCGAAGAAGCCATCCGATGACTTATGTTTTCTCACCTTTAGGCTTTTAATTAGGTGTTAATATTTAGGAAATGGAAACAATAGGCAATGGGGAATCAAGTCACAAATTTTCTAAAGTGTCGAATGTGTTTAAGCTTCACGCCTTGCATGCTTTTATTGTGTTTCTTAATCCCCAGACAGAATAAACATTTAGGACGTTGACATAATCATTTTCAAATTTTACGGTAAAACACAGATGGACGTCCAGTTATTGTATAATTTTCGCCCAAATGTTCTTTATTTTGACAATAAGTAAGGCATAACAAAACGCAAGCTTCGATTCTGTCTTGGTTAAGGCGGAAACAAAAAAAAAATTCTTCCTTCGTACAGGACAAATTATAAGGAGCTACGGCCTTACAATTCCTCAATGGTTTTGAAATGTCTTTATCATTCGATATTTCGAAAGTAGGAAAATTAAGCGAAGCCCCGATTAGAAAGTGCGGCGGCGTCAGAATTCCTCAAATGAGTTGAAATTCCTTTATAATTCGACATTTCCATAGCGGAAAATGAAGTAGAGCGCTGATCGTGTTTTGACCTTAAGTGTGAAACAAAATCAAATTTCTTGCTTCGTCGAAAACAAATTAGCAAGGGCGGCGGCGTTAGAATGCCTCAAAAGCTTTGAAATTCCTTTATAATTCGACATTTCCACAGTGTGAAAATAAGGCGCAGCGCTGATTGTGTTTGGCCATATGGGTGATTTAAAATAAAATTTGTTCCTTCGTTGAAGACAAATTATAAAGGGCAACGACGTTTGAATTTCCTATAGGCCTTGGAATTCATTTATAATTCGGCTTCTCCAAAGCAGGAACATGAAGGGATTGTGTTTTGGCCTTTAGGGTGAAAAAAGACAAAAATTTGTTCCTTCATCGAAGAAAAATATAGCTATGACATTAGAATTCCTCAATAATTTTGAAATACCTGTACAATTCGACATTTCCATGGCGGTAAAATGAAGTGAAGCACTGATTGTGTTTTGGCCTTAAGAGTGAATTAAAATAAAATTTGTTGCTTCGTCGAAGAAAAATTAAAAAGAACGGCGGTGTTTGGATTTCTCAACGGCTTTGAAATTCCTTTATAATTCGATATTTCCATAGCGGAACATTAAGTGAAGCGCTGATCGTGTTTTGACAATATGGGTGATTTAAAATAAAATTTGTTCCTTCGTTGAAGACAAATGGGTAAAGGGTAATGACGTAAGAATTCTCTATAGCCTTAGAATTCATTTATAATTCGGCATCTCCAAAGCGGGAACATGAAAGGAAGCGCTGATTGTGTTTTGGCCTTAAGAGTGAATTAAAATAAAATTTGTTGCTTCGTCGAAGCCAAGCACGGTGGCGTTAGAATTCCTCAATAGCTTTGAGATTCTTTTATAATTCGACATTTCCATAGCGGAAAATGAAGTGAAGCGCTGATCGTGTTTTGGCCTTAAGGGTGAAACAAAATAAAATTTCTTGCTTCGTCGAAGGCAAATTATAAAGAGCGGCGCTGTTTGGATTTCTCAACGGCTTTGAAATATCTGTATTATTCGACATTTCCATAGTGGGATAATGAAGCGAAGCGCTGATTGTGTTTTAGCCTTCATGGTGAAAAAATAAATAAAATTTCTTGCTTCTTCGAAGATAAATTATTAAGGGCTGCGGTGTTATTACTCAACGGGAATTAAAAAATAAGAGAAGTTATTTTGCGACATGGCAAGGAAATAAAGCGAAGCCCTGAATGTGTTTTGGCCTCAAGAGTGAATTAAAATAAAATTTGTTGCTTCGTCGAAGACAAATTATGGCTTTGAAATGCCTTTATAATTCCACATTTCTATTGGAAGGAAATGAGGCGAAGCGCTGCGAGAAAATGAAGCGAAGCCCTGATTGTGTTTTCACATTTAAGGCTTGAAGCTTAGCTTTTTTTAGGTTCTTTGTCCAGTTAATATAGAAATATAGATAATTTTATCCATGCTATTGAACCATTTTATTCACAGCATGGAACCCCACAAAATCTGGAAAAACACTTCACATTTTGAGGCGTTTTTCTCTGAAGCCCCACGCCTGCATTAGACTTTCCTTGCATTTTTTTTTTAATTTTTGTGGTTTTTAGCTTACATGACTTTTTGTTTTTGTTCTGTTTTTTGTTTAATAATTTATTCATTCAACTTACCTTCCCAAGTCTTCATCTTTGCCCGTTTCATCAGCATCGTATAAAGAAAACTCAACAAATTGGCCCATTTCGGCAAATATTTTCGCCTTTTTTGTGGTTTGGTTTTGGATGAGTAGTACAGAGTGAACACAAAATTTTTGGTGTGTATTTTTTTTGCGGATTTTTTTGTTTTTTTGGAATTTGATCATAGAGGAAGCAAAGTTTGGTTTTGATTTTCAGAGAATAGCACAGTTTTATATAACATTTTTCAGATGGGGGAAAAAAGAAAAGAAAAAACAAATAACAAAAAGAAAATTAACAAAAAACAAGAGTAACAAATAAAACAAAGAGCATGCATTCGGACTAAATACAAGATATTTGTTCGGACTACATTTAAACGAAACTTTAAAATTTGGAAAACTTGCTATTTTTGTGTAAGTGCAGAAAAAATTAAAAAAAAATCATATTTTTTTAAGGTTAGATTTATAGCAAAATTTTCTCTTTGGCCAATTTTTAAAATGGAATTTCCACACAATGCTCTTTTTGGTATTCGCCAAATTATGACAGACTTTTTCCAACTTACCTCACACCAAAAGTCCCATTTTGGATTGACATTGTTGTCGATAATTTGTGTTTTGTATTCCTGCGAGCCCACATTGATAATGGCATAGGGATCGGATTTACCCTTACCCAACATGCTGATATCCTTTTTCATTAGATCCTTGGCTTCCACGACGTGTATGCGCAGTACACCCTGGGGACGAAAGAAAATGGGAAAATTAAAGACTCAAATTAGCTGAAGTTAAGTTAAAGGGCATGGTAGAGGGATTTCTATGGCATTTCAGTAGCATACTCTAGTTATCTATCTCTACGCTGAGGGAAGCTTAAAGAACATACCAAAATTCTACCAAGGTTCTTTCTGTATTAGCGGAAAATAAATAGGTGTAGGGTAGGTATAGGTCTAGGTAGGCGATTAATTCAGTCGTTTAAGTATAAGAGGCTGTACGATCTTCAATGGGTATTTCACTAGTCAAAAATTCTTCGGAAAAAAGAGAATCACCCCGGAGGCATTTATTGCGCCTTCCTAAGAAGGAAATTTCGGCATTTCAGTAGCATACTTTAGTTATCTATCTCTACGCTGAGGGAAGCTGAAAAATTGTACAAAGGATCTTTCTGGATTAGCGGAAAATAAATAGGTCTAGGGTAGGTATAGTCTAAGTAGAAAATTCAAGCAGTCGGCTAAGTATAAGAGGCTTTGCGATCTCCAATAGGTATTTTGTTAGTCAAAAAGCCTTCCGGAAAGAAAGAGAACCACTCCGGAGACATTTGCTGCGCCTTCCTAAGAAGGAAACCTCTCACGTTATTTAATGATCGATTTATTGGTTCTATAAATACGTTCACTGAATGTATTAAATTTTTCATTGATTCTATGAAGTATTTTGTTGTTTTTGTTAACTTTTTAATTGACTTGTAAAACATTTTCATGGCTCAATAAATAGTTTCATTAATTCAATGAACAATTTCAATGGTTAAACGAACCACTTAATGCTTCAATGCACATCTTAAATATTTTATGAATCATTTGCGTAGTTTTAAGTATAATTTCATTAATTCTATGAACTATTTTATTGTTTTTGTTATCTTTTTAATTGACATTTTCATGGCTCAATAAATAGTTTCATTAATTCAATGAACAATTTCAATGGTAACATGAACCTTATAAATATTTTATGAATCATTTGCGTAGTTCTAGGAAATAATTCATTGATTCTATGAACTTTTCAAATATTTTAGAGGAATTTAGTGCAGTAGAAGCGTCAGAGGATAAGAGTAGCAGGGTTGCCCGGACATTTCCTCAAGAATCTTATATCGATTATTTCGCAAAATTAGATTGACATTTCCCCTGTCATTCGAAGAAGACCATGTCGATTATTCCACAAATTTGGATTAATGAGGAAGCGGCAGAAGGTAAGAGTAGAAGGTCTCTCAAGACATATCTTCAAGAAGACCATATTGATAATTCCGCAAATTTCGATTGGCATTTTTCCTGTGTTTCAAAGGATGTGGAACAACGCGCTGAGAAAGTGGCAGAGGATAAGGTTTGTTAAGGCATTTCTTTAAGAAGGACATATCGATTATTCCGCAAATTTAGATTGGAATTTATCTTGCAATTCGAGAAATGCGGAACAACGTGCTGAATAAGTGGCAGAGGATAAGAGTACCAGCGTTGCCAAGACATCTCTTCAAGGAGGTCATGTCGATTATTTCGCAAATTTGGATTGGCATTTTCCCTGTAATTCGAAGAATGCGGAACAAGTAGAAGTATAGAGATAGAGCGAGAAGGCAGTTCGAAAGAATTGTTTTTTTTTCGCGGAAAAGATTGGAATATCAATTTAGGAAGCTTATGAATATTTTCAACGAATTGCAGAAAGAAGGAATATTAAACGAGGTTTCAGAATATATTTTCAAGTTAACAGATTTCGATTTTTTACGAACGAACAGTGTAGAAGTTTGGGTGCTTTCAGTGCCGTAGAAGAGGCAAAGGATAAAAGTAGCAGAGTCTCCGAGACACCTCTTCAACAATATTCTATTAATTTGGAGTGACGAGCAGTGTAGAATTTTAGAGGAATCAGTGCCATAAATTTCTTCATCAAGACCATATCGAATATTTCGCAAATTTGGATTGGTATTTTCCCTGTGATTCGAAATTGCGGAACAACGCGCTGAGAAAGCGCCAGGTTATAAGTGGAGCAGGGTTGTCAAGACATCTCTTCAAGAAGACCATATGGATTATTCCCTGTGATTCAAATAATGCGGAACAACGCGCTGAGAAAGTGGCAGAGCATAAGGTTGTCAAGACATCTCTTCAAGAAGACCATATCGATTATTCCGCAAATTCCGCCTGCTCGAAAGATGTGTTCTATTTTTCTATTCTATCAAGTGAGGAAGCTGAAGGATATTGTCAACGATATGTAGAAAGAAGTAGTATTGAACGAGGTTTCCGAATATATTTTCGAGTTAACAGAATGTGATTTTGTAAACGAGCAGAGTTGGAAGCTTTATGTGCCATAGAAGCGGTAGAGGATCAGAGAAGCAGACTTGAGCCAAGACATATCTTCAATAAGGCCATATCGATTATTCAGCAAATTTGGTTTGATATTTCGCCTACGATTCGAAGAATGCGGAACAACGCGCTGAATAAGTGGCAGAAGACAGCTCTTCATGAAGGCCATATAGGATATTCCGTAAATTTGGGTTGGTATTCTCCCTGTGATTTGAAGAATGCGGAACAAGGCACTGAGAAAGCGGCAGAGGATGAAAGGAGCAGATTTGCGCCAAGACATCTCTTCAAGAAGGCCATATCGATTATTTCAGATAGAGCGAGAAGACTGCCCGAAAAGAGTGTTCTTTTTTTGCAGAAAATATTAGAAAGATGGGAATACAAAATGAAAAAGCTGAGAATGAATATTGTCAACGAAATAAAGAAAGAAGAAATATGGAAGGAGGTTTCAGAATATATTTTCGAGTTAACAGAATTCGATTTTTAAACGAACGAATAGATTTGTAGAGGATTTTAAGTGCCATAGAAGCGGCAGAGGATAAGGTGACAGGGCTGCCAGGACATCTTTTTAAGAAGGTCATTTCGGTTATTTCCTATTATTCAAAGTATGCGAAACAACACGCTGAGAAAGTGCCAGAGGATAAGCGTTGTCAAGACATCTCTTCAAGAAGACCATATCGATTATTCTGCAAACTTCGATTGGCATAAGTGGCCGAGGATAAAAGTATCAGGGTTGTAAAGATATCTCTTCAAGAAGGCCATATCGCTTATTCCGCAAATTTAGGTTGGCATTTTTTCTGCGTTTCGAAGAATGCAGAACAAGGCGCTGAGAAAGCGACAGAGGATAAGAGAATAAGGATTGTCAAGACATTTCTTCAAGAAGGCCACGTTGATTATTCCGCAAATTTGGATTGATATTTTCCCTGTGAATCGAAGAATGCGGAACAACGCGCTGATAAAGCGGCGGAGGATAAGAGGAGCAAGATGGCCATATCAAGATGGCCATATCGATTATTCATTAAATCTATGAATTATTTTGTAGTCCTGGGAATCAAATTAATGGTAATGAAATAGAGTTCTGCAGGTTCTAGCTTCTACTGCCGAATGTGGTTTCTTTTGTATAAATATTGGACCTACTGCGTTTTTCGGAATTTCAATTATTTGCTTTCCCTGATCCGAAAAAATGTTTGCTAAGAACTTTAAAAAATATAATATTTAGGATATATTTCCTCAACTAAATTCAAGTATAGGTGTCGCTTCGCATGTGATTTCTTCATCAGTGATTGTTGCAAGACAACACCATAAAAATTGTCACAAAACTTTGCATGCTTCCGATTTCGGATATCATCAAATATCTATTTCTGTCTCAATCAAAAACTCACCTCCGGTTCGGGCATTTTCAACGAAGTCGCCGGCACCTCATCACTCAATGTTATGGGCAGCTTATTCGGCAGGACCATAATATTACCAATCTGCTCCACAATAATCCTACGCAGCAGATCACTCAAACCCGGCATATCCAACAAATCGATAACGCCGACCAAATTAAAATCTATATTTGGATTATTCAAAAAGAAAATCTGGAGACCGCCAACCAATGGCATACTGCGGATCAGAGGCTTCATGACCACACGAACCCAACCATGAATTTGGAAATCTTTAATGCCACCCTTCATGCTGCCCAAATAGAAATTAATATCACAGTCACTGGCATAGAAGAGATCAAGATCCATGATGATTTCATTGCGTCCAATGTTCTGGGTATACACCTTAACGCCGCCAATTCGCGGCGGAATGGTACCCAAAATGATGCGATCAAAACGGAAACCGTTCATTTTGTAATTGGCCAGAGATTCGGCAACGGCGGGTTCAATGGTCTCCTTCACCAGGGTGCGGGCATAGTGGTTGGCATTGGGCCAGAGGTGTTTGAGAATCTGAAAAGAAGATGGAACAAAAAGAAATTAAGGAATTATGCCTGCAACAAATTACCGTTCTTCGCTTACCTTGTTCACCCATTCACAGCGTTCCACATCGGGAAAGTAAACCTGTGGCAACAAACATCAGCTGTCAATCTTATAGAGATCTCATAAAATTTCTTTTCTCCACTTACCCATGCCGGCAACTCATCGATACGAGCCATAATAACCTCCTTTTCGGAGGCCAAAGCCGATGCCTTGGCAATACTTCTTTTGTGTTCGGTAGATTTACGGAAACGATCACGAGCCACCGACAAGACCACCGGAGCAATAAGCCATGCCACCGACCAGCCCATATAGCCCACCAAATATATGGAACCAACTATGGCCACTTTTTTGGCCACCGCATACATGGTGGAAAAAATGCTATCCTCGGCGGATGAGGGTTTGGCTACTGTGGTATCGCTATTCGTTTCGGCGGCGACGGCACCTGCAGCAGCGGATGTGGTGGTAGCTTCCATTTTACGTAGTTCGTCTTGCTCTTCTTCGTCGTCGTCGAAGTTAGGATCCGCTGGTATTTCCTGCAATTCAGCCAATGGTGCTGAATTCACCACGGTATCAGAATCGCTATGCTCCTCTGGCGGCACTTCTTCGTATTGGAAATCACTGAAAGAGAATAAAAGAAAGGAAATGGATTAAATATTCGGAAAAACTTTAAAATAGATAACGAAAATGAAGTAAAAAGTTAAAAAGGGATTTAAAAATACCCCCTAAGAGTAATGTAGATTTTTTGCATAGGATCCAGAAATAGTTCATAAAATTATAGAATTGTACATAAATAAAATTTTCATAGAATTATTGAATGCCTTGAGGTTGAGCGGTTCTTAAACTAAACTACTATATCTTTGACCAAAGAAAGGTTCCTTAAAATTTCATTCTAGCAAATCGGTCTTATCCAGCGCATCCTGTAGCTCAAATTCAAATATCCAAAAATGTTACATAAAGTTTTCTGTCGCAAGGGTTTAAAAATAACAAAACCTCTGGTTGCTCAGATTGAGAGATCGCTCTGTGAGTCATTGTTTTGCATTAACATTGACCAGTTAATTGTTTGCCGCAACGAAATAATTCTGAATAGCATTTTTAGAATTTTAGAACGTGGTTTCCATATTAAAATGTGCGAGTATTTTTAGTTCTAAGCACTCATTGCGGGAGGGCAGTCAGCGAGCAAAGTTATTTAAAATTCCAATTTTTTTTGAGGTTTTGATGATTACAAATATAAATCGTGAAGTCAAATGTTCAGATGTTTGAATTAAAAAGAAAAGAGGAGAAAATAGAAGACTCATATTCGGCAAGGTCACAGTGTGGCTTATATTTAGTAATCGCTTATCAAAATGAAAAGGAAGGTCAACACAGAGAGAGAGAGAGAGAGAGAGAGAGAGAGAGAGAGAGAGAGAATGAAAGAAAGTATGTGCTTTAGACTAGTAGATTTTTTGAGAATTTTTTTTTGGCTCCTTCGCAGAGCTGTACAATTTTCGTTACTAATTTCTAAGGTCACTCTGTGGATATTTTACGAACTTTTTAAAACCAAGCCTAGAATTAATTACTCAATATTTAGGTTCATATTTTTTTTAAGAATTTCTAAGCCGGGGTAAAACTCTATAATCGTGAACTTTTCTAAAGGATTTCTAAGGCTTAGCTGAAGAGTCCCAGCTGAAGCCAGTAGAAGCTGAATATAAAAAAAGTATATAGCTGAATATAAAAAAGAGCTAAAAAGGAAGACACTTATATCGGTGTTTACAAATTTAACAACCCAAAGTAACCTGTGTAGAGGAGGCAAGTTCCCCTCTCTTCTACATTTTTTTTAATTTTTCAGATTAACATTCCTTGGAATCCGTTGATTTTTATAGGGTGAGATGAAAAAACTGCAACCACCTTCAGACTGCTGTCATTTCTAAGCCACTCGTCCGACAGCTGTTAAAATTATTCCAGTGACAGCTCATTATATTTTTTTGGTGAGAATGGAATTCAAGCAGGATAGTGTGATTTCTTTATATTTGGCTGGAAAACTACAAGTGGCTATCGTTAGAGCTCTTCAGCATTTAAATGTGAATAAATCTTTTGTATCTCGTACCATCGCAAGTGCTCGTTACCGTGATACTGGTAGCGTAGCCCGACGTCAAGGAAGTGGACGAAAGAAAACAGCAACATCAACAGAAATGGTTCGAAAAGTAAAGAAGCGACTTGGTCGAAACTCGCGTCGCAGTGGCCGAAAAAATGGCTCGTGAGCTAAACATATGGGAATATTCCATTCAGCAAATATTGAAAAATGAGCTCGGGGTAAAGCCATTGAAATTCCAAAAAGTGCAAGAACTTACACCGCAACAGAAAGAAAATAGACTCAAAAGAGCTAAAGAGTTGGCCGAAAGTTGTGAACTGCCGAATTTGGTTTTCTCCGCTCCGATGAGAAAACATTCGTTGTCTAGCAGTTTGTAAACAAACAAAATAATCGTGTCGTTCTTGCCAAAGAGGTCAGCTGAAAATGTGCACCTTCGGTTGGCCACGAGAATTCAAGCGTCTGCCATGGTTATGGCGTGGGCCGCCATAACAACCGATGGTCGTTCTCCGCTTGTGTAACTCCACCGTGGCATCAGAATAAATGTCGAATATCATCGCGAAAATATTCTGGAGGGTGTATTAAAACCTTGGGCACGCAAACATTTGGCCGCAGACCTTGGGCAATCCAACAGGACTCAGCACCATCGCACTCAGCAAGCGCCACCTAAGAATGGGAATTCGCCGGGAATTGGCCAAAGTACGGCAGAGCAACATTTGGGCAGCGTGTGACGTTTTCATTGGCCGTTTGGGAACCATAATTCGTGGCAAAGGTGACTACTTCGAACAAATCTAAACTTATTCTAAAATTTGATGCTATTTCCGACTTTTTTGTTTTCATTCAATAAAATTTAAAGGAAAACTGTACCAAGTTAAAAAAACAGTAATTTCGGCCGGGTCGAACTTTGAATACCCTCCACCATTTGGAAAGAATTTGCAAATTTTCAAAAAATAAAATCCATTAAAAATTCTGTTAAAATCTTAAAAATTCCGAATCTTAAAAATAAAAAAAAAAATTGGGGACCTACATGAGCATTGTTTGTCATAAGCCATTACCATATTCAAATTCGAAAGGTGAAATAAACGGTGAATAATGTAGCTAAAATCATCAAAATACCGTGTATAGGGAGATACCGTTATATGGGCGTTATACGATGACGTGGACCTGCAGACACATTTTTCTGTCTTGCGCTGTAGCATTCATTACGAACTTCAAATACTGAATTTGAAACTATTCCGGTGAATAATGTCGCCAAAATCATTAAAATACCGAATATCGGGAGGTATCGCTATATCGGAGCTCTGCGAAGACCTGGACCTGCATAGGCAATTCTCGGTCACAGGCTGTAGCATGATATACTGATATATGGGACCTATACGAAGACCTGAACCTGCATGGACAATACGTAATTTAAAGCTACTCCGGCGAATAATGACGGTAAAATCATCAAAATACCGAACATAACGAGGTACCGTTATATTGGGGCTATGCGAAGACGTGGACCTGCACAGACAATTTTCTGTCTTAGGCTGTAGCATCCATTTGGAACTTCAGATACCAAATTTGAAACAATTCCGGTGAATACTGTCGCTAAAATGATCAAAGTACCGAATATCGGGAGATACCTTTATATGGTGGCTATAAGAAAACGTGGACCTACATGACCCATTTACGAACTTAACCTGCTTATTGGCAAAATATACATGTGTGCAAAATTGTAGCCTTCTATCTCAATTCGTTCGAAAGATAGCGTGATTACAACAGACAAACAGCCGGACAGACGGACTTCGCTAAATCGACTTAGAATTTTACGCTGATCAAGAATATATTTACTTTGTTGGGTCTGACATGAGTAATTCGAGGAAATGAGAGAGTTAAGGGTATAAAAATGTAAAAATTATGACGTTTGACTTTGTTGCAGTAGGACTAGATTTAGACTTTTGATATATTTTTGTGACCGTAGTAGAATTTTATGACAAATAATTTTGAAGAATATTGTGACTTACTAGTATCCCGTTTAAAGGGAGTTTTAAGCCATCTTTTGAAAAAAAGACCCCTTTTATACCCTCTACAATGCATAGTATGGAGGGTATATTAAGTTCGTCATTCCGTTTGTAACTCCTCGAAATACTCATGTCAGACCCAACAAAGTATATATATTCTTGATCAGCGTAAAATTCTAAGACGATTTAGCCCTGTCCGTCCATCCGTCCGTCTGTTGTAATCATGCTACAGTCTTAACGAATTAAGATAGGAAGCTAAAATTTTGCACAGATCTCTCATTTGTCTGCAGACAGGTATTTTGATGATATTCGGTATTTTGATGATGTTAGCCACATTTTTAAACGCAATTGTCTGATAATCCACACAAGGAGTTCCTTGTGAATACTTTATCTCTTGGAAGAGAATTATCTATATAGGACTACGATATCGTTAGCCCCCAATATAACGGTACCCCCGATATTAGGTATATTGATGATTTTAGTTACATTTTTCAACGGAATTATCTGAAATTGTACACAAGAGGTTCTTTGTGAGCACTTTACCCCCTGACATAGATTTGTCTATATAGGTCCACGATATCGTATATCCCCCATATAACGGTACCCTCCGATATTCGGCATTTTGATGATTTTAGCCATTTTTCCAATGGTATTGTCTGAAAATCCACACAAGAAGTTCTTTGTGAACACTTTAACCCCTGAAAAGCAATTGTCTATATATGTCCACAATAATGTCTATGCGAGCATATATCGGCACCTTCCGATAATAGATATTTTAAAGATTTTAATAGAATTTTTAAAGGATTTTATTTTTTGAAGATTTTCTTATGGTCCCAAATGGTGGAGGGACGATATTTTGTAAAATATCCTCAAAATAATGTATTGCTGTCGGTAGCAGTACCAAGAATACTGCATACCTATAATGCAAAGATTCCTATGTATATGAATCCGAAAATTAAAAAAAAATGCGTTTACGGTCCATATGGAAAGTCATTCCGCTTACACTCATATTGGATATTATTTGTTATTTTCTCAAATCAAAAATTTGAAAACAAAACCATTATCATTAATTTCGGTGTTGTGTATTTTTTCAATTTATTCTTTATGGGTATCCAAAATGAATTTGTTGTGAAAGCAAAAAAAAAAAAACCCTTCCCCCCGACAAAAAAACACTAAAATGTTTGAGAAACCCCATTGCGCCGCCACAATCAATGACATCATCCACACCATTCACCGGCTAAACATGCCAATGAGCCGGAAAATATGAATATTTCCATTGATTTTTTTTTATTATTATTCACCACGAACTGGAAACAAGTGGAAAGAACAAAACAAAATGGGTGCTAAATAATAGACACAAAGGAAGAAAAAAATAAAAACAGCAAAGCACACAAGTTGATATTGAAATAATAATTAACATTCAAAAGATGTTACGGCAGAATGTAAAATAAACAATACAGAAAAAAGCATACAATTACATTTTAAATATTTTATTTACAACAAAAAAAAAAAATAAATTAATTAAGTAAAAATAATAAATAAATAAAAAA